GGGTTTGAAAGCCTTCTGTAACCCACATGGCTGGAAACAACCTTAGTCTTTGCTGCTCTTGGCTGATATGATCTCACAAAACTGGGGTGGGGAAAGTGGAGAGATAACCCGATGTTATCTCAGTTTGGGAGCAAGTCAATGCTATGTTATCACACATCACTCAAGAGGCAGTAGCCCAGGACTGCAGGTACTAAATCCTCTTCTACCAGGTCTACCTTTCACCTTCCAGCCTCACTCACTGTTCCTACATGATCACAGAAGAAAGGATGATGCAGTTCTCCCATCTCACCTAACCCAAGGCTGATTCCATCTTCTACTGGGGTAGCTATGGAACTAGATGAACCCTATAATGAAGTCCATTCTGGCCCCACTGTCCCCCCAAATTCTGCCAGTAAGTCCCTAAAGCTTCCCGAAGCCCCACCACTAAACCCATCCCTTTGGATAAACTAAAGGTGTCCAGCCAACAGAGAGGGGTCCCCAGGCAGATTTCAGTGTTTCCCCAGAGATCAAAACACACCACCTTGTGGCTGCAAATTGCTTCATCTTATACAAAACTCTTTTTCATGCAGGGTCCATTTGACCTCTGGAACCTGCTGGAATAATTGGAACATAGGGGTGGGTTTGAACTTGAGCTTAGGGCAGAGACTGGGAGGCCAGCTGGAAGCAGGGATAGCAGGAATGTTAACTCTTTGGACTTTGATTGCCTTCTGTAAAATGGCAGTAGTTACCATCTCAAGCACTTATGGTACACGTGCAGCAGCATCATGAATTTCAAACTGAGTGTGGGGGAAGAGGGTATAGGATGTGCCACTCAATGTACCTGGCACATACATCCTCCTGGAATTTTATTTGAGGCTTTGGAGGTGGGAGAGTTTTATAATAAAACTTGGATTTATTATGCAGCATAATGCAAACCTTGTATGTATTTAAAGAGTGAAAAAGGGAGTTTTGAAAGAGATGTCATGCTTCTAGTGGGCTGCTTCTGGCTACACCCCCAGATCCCTGGGGATTGGACACGTGATCACACCCTACTGTGCCATGTAGGGACTTCGGGAAGAAAGCAGGAGCAATGCTGTCTGTTGGAGATGAGAAGCCTGGCATGCAGTGGGCGGTCAGTAAATGGTGGCTTGTGTTATAGCAACAGCTAGGTCCAGAGGAAACAGGCTCACACAGATGAAATTCTCACTTGAGTTCACTCAGCTAGAAAGTGACAGAGTCAAGATTGGAAGCAACTTCGGACTCCCCCTCCAGTACTCTGTCACTGACTCCCATCTCCTCCCCATGAAAAGCGGTTTTATAGTCAGCAGCTTCCTCTGCTTAAGCCTCCACCCCAGTTCTCCCTCTCACTCTAGTGAATTGAGTAAGAACTGGATTCCTGGGTTCCAGCCCTGTGGAGGCACACACATGTCATTCCTCTAAAAGGCAGGCGCCCTGGAAGGAGGCAGCAGACACACTCAGGTCTGAGCAAACCTGTGCACTCCAGTGGGTAGACACAGGAGTGATGAGCTTGGTGTGGGAAGAGGAAAGGTTCAGAGTATCAGATGATCTCAGACTAGACGCAATGGTCAAGAGGCAAAAGGTACACCAAAATCTCTATTTCCCTCTCAGTTTCATCTAAGATGACAGACCCTCCTCTCTGTATTCCATTTTCAAAACCCAGGTTTCTGGGTCCAGGTTGGGGCACCCTGGCCTTGTCAACTGGTAGGGAGTGAGATGGCATCCAAGGATAGGAAGAGGGCCTTGGGGAACACCAAGCCATTCTTTCTTCAGGCCCTACCAGGCTAGCCTCCCTGCCCTGGGCCTGTGTAATGATTTGTTTCCATGTTTGTTTTTTTCCCTAAATGAGAGGAACCAACTGTCCCAAGTATTAAATGATAATCCAGATTTGTGCAGGCAGTGGTCCACACCAAGGAATGGGGCAGGGGGTGGGTGGTGTCACACTCAAGTCTTATTTACTACTAAGCCTTATTTACACTCAAGTCTTATTTACTACTTATTTCCCCGTTTTACAGATTAAGAAACTGAACTCAGAGGTTTCTCAAGCTCCAGAATATCCCAAGGCACTGGTAAAAGTGCAATGCTCAGAATTTCCCTGTGGTAGACCTGAAAATCTGCATTTTTTTTTTTTTTAACATCACGAGACTGTCTTCCTCACAAAAGTCCTAAAACCTCGACGAGCAGTTCAGTAACCTGTCCATGCAGCTGTGGAGCAGCAGAACTGAGCTTTCTGACGCTAAGGCTGGGGCTCCTTTCAGCACACTGGATATCTGTCATCTCCAGGTGCTTGTCTCAGGGTCCGCCACACAGGCTCACGATAAACTTCCCTGAGTGAATGAGCCGCTGAAGCTCCAGGCAGGAGCTGCTCAGGGTAGGGTGGGACGGGGCGAGACCATGTTCCAGAGGAAGGAGGGCTTGTGTACTGCTGAGATGCTGACTGGCAGACCGGGGTCGTGTCGGTTTCAGAAAAGCCACTGGCAGAAGATTCGGACCATGGTGAACCTGCCGGTCATGAGCCCTTTCAAGAAGCGCTACGCCTGGGTGCAGCTGGCAGGGCACACGGGTGAGCACGGGCCGTGGCGGGTGCCGGGGGCGGAGGCCGGGAGGAAGGAACTTAGGCGGCACTAACCAGGGTCTGCCCTCAGGGAGTTTCAAGGCAGCGGGCACCAGCGGACTGATCCTCAAGCGCAGCTCGGAGCCGGAGCGCTACTGCTTGGCGCGGCTCATGGCGGATGCGCTACGCGGCTGCGTGCCCGCCTTCCACGGCGTGGTGGAGCGCGACGGCGAGAGCTACCTGCAGCTGCAGGACTTGCTCGACGGCTTCGATGGGCCCTGCGTACTAGACTGCAAGATGGGCGTCAGGTACGCGTGCCCCGCGGGGCGGCTGGAAACCAGTAAAGGGCCCAGGGCGGGATCGAGCGCACTACGCTTGCCCAAGGCAGTGCTCGACGAGGTCCGGGTGTGCGCCCGCTCACGCCGCGCCGCTGCCTGCGCCTCCGTAGGACTTACCTGGAAGAGGAGCTGACCAAAGCCCGCGAGCGGCCCAAGCTGCGGAAGGACATGTACAAGAAGATGCTCGCGGTAGACCCTGAGGCACCCACCGAGGAGGAGCATGCGCAGCGCGCGGTCACCAAGCCGCGCTACATGCAGTGGCGAGAAGGCATCAGCTCCAGCACCACTCTCGGCTTCCGCATCGAGGGCATCAAGGTGGGCCAGGCCCGCGTCGCTTTGTACTTCCCGGGCCCTTCCTCCGCCCCAGCCCCACTGTGCTGTGTCTGCCCTCCGTGTTGACCTCCCACCCCTACTGCCCCCGGAAGAGGCACCCTCTGGCTGCCGTCTCGCCGTCCCTGGCATTCAACGTCCCGGGAGGTACTGCTGCTGTAGCCAGATCCTCTCCCTTTGGGCACACACGTGGCCCCTGACGATTTCTGCCCACCTTCTACAGAAAGCCGACGGCTCCTGCAGCACCGACTTCAAGACCACGCGAAGCCGGGAGCAGGTGATCCGAGTCTTTGAGGAATTTGTGCAAGGGGATGCGGAAGTGCTGGTGAGCGTGGGATCCCAGGACCCTGAGATGCTGGGGAGCCTGATACCAAGGGGTGCCCCCAGCTCAGGTCATCTGACGCAACACCCTTCCCTACGTAACCCGCATCCCAGTGTTTATCGCACTGCGCTGTTATTGCTTTACAACAATTCTGGGCTGCACGCCAAGTGGGGGCCTGCGCCTTCCTCACCATGGTATTTGCCAAGCCAAACATGCATCGTGGCGTTCTTCATAATCTCATAATCGCAGAGGTTCAGTTGGTATTTAATTTGTCCTCCTCTTCTCCACCCTCTCCAGAGGAGGTATCTGAACCGCCTGCAGCAGATCCGGGACACTCTGGAAGTCTCTGAGTTCTTTAGGAGGCACGAGGTAAGAGGGGCAGGCTCACATGTCTGTGGTCTGTGAGGGAAGAGGGTGGAGGGCTTCTCCGGATTAGAGCCGTAGCCTGACGGTGGGGGACTCGCAGGTGATTGGCAGCTCGCTCCTCTTCGTGCATGATCACTGCCATCGCGCTGGCGTGTGGCTCATCGATTTTGGCAAGACCACGCCTCTCCCTGACGGCCAGACCCTGGACCACCGGCGGCCCTGGGAAGAGGGCAACCGAGAGGACGGCTACTTGCTGGGGCTGGACAATCTCATTGGCATCCTGGCCAGCCTAGCCGAGAGATGAGGCTGGGCCCCTGTCCCTGCTGACCTGAGGGTCTGACAGATGGAGCTGCGCCTGCGTCCCCACCATGCATGCAGGCAAGAGAGACTGGAAACCCCGCAATGCGGGGCAGTGCATACGGCCCTGTAGGGACAAGTGCCAACCACTGTGGGACACACTGCACGCGCAGGGCCTGGCCCCCTACAAGCCCCAGTGTTCCTAGAGCCGATGACACTAAGTGGGGGAGGGAGGAGGAGAGTGGGGTAAGTGGCTTCTTCTTCAGCCCAGCTCTTCTGAGGGGGCTCCATACCTCTCCAGAGAAGCCAGATAAAGAACTTTGTTTCACAGGCACTAGAGCTATTGGTCTGAACTCCCACACTACAATGGACTCCCCTTCCCAATAAAACTCAAAGACACCAGCTTTGACTCTGGCTCCATCCCCTCCTTCCCTCTGGTCCCTTCTTTCTTGGTTCCCTGGCGTCTGTCAGGTGCACTCAGATCACTGTGGTCTATGAGAAGAGCTCTTTTTTAGAGGCATGTGTAGCGTTGGGGGCTGCCCAGGTGGAGAATGCTAATGGGGTAAGGGCAATCCAGAGAAATGCAGAAGGCAATTTCAATTCCCCACCTACACCTTGTGGGTGGGGGTGGCCTCTAGAACCAGTATCAAAGGCTGGGAGTGGCCAGGCTCTTGCCCAGGAGGCCTGAGACTGGTTTCCAGGATGGAGAGTTCAATGGTGCCAGGTCAGCCCTGAGACAGGCCTAGACATGCAGCACAGACTGCAGGGGACAGAGGCTGCGTGGGCCACAAGCCACCTAGAAGCCTGGGGAGGAGTGCAGGGAGGAACTGTCACCATCAATGCCAGAGTCCTCACCCATAGGACCCTGTGGCACCCAGGAACCACAGGTGAGATTCCAAAGGTTCCAAGGTTGGTTACTCCTGGATTCGGGGGACTTGAGGCCAAAGGACAGCTGGGGACCAAGGAGGCTCCCTCCCCAGTTCTTCAAGCTCCCTAGACTCAGTTCCTGGGCCTGTGGAGATCTTAGGCCCCCCAAAGACAGGCTCCCCAGCCCCTTCCTCCTCCAGAATGGGTTAATTCCATTGAAAGGGGAGAATTCAGCACAACAGGGTTCTTTAATAGGAAGGTAGAGGAGTGGGGCTCACAGTGTTGTCTTATGGTTTCCCTCCTGGTCCCCAAGTCCAGGATGGTTGGGGCAGGTCAGGTGGCACACCTGAGTGCTGTACTGAAGATGCTCCAAGATGCTGGCAAAATGAGGACAAGGTTCAGCTGATGCTGTTAACACTGGGGATACAGTACCTGGGGAGAGGAGTTCATTGCCAACCCTGGCAACACTCAAGACAACACTTCATACTCACACTGAGAGGGTCACCCATCCCCCACCCTCCTACCCCATGACAGTCAGCACCTCCTGACTGGTGCACCCAGGGTAGGGTATATAGCCCAGTGAGATCTCCCAGAGCAGCATTTAAAGACCTGCATCACATGTGGCGGGAACTGAGTACAGTGGAGCCCATCAGGAACAGCTTCCCTTTCTCTCACATGAGGTGACCCAAGGTAGTGGAGTGCATGTTATCACCAGGAGTCTGCCTTGGATGTAAAGATGCCCTCCAGGGAGGCTTCTGGGGGGCCCCCCTTGTGGTAATAACTGGCCCTACAAGAGGGAGGAATGGAGTGATGAGCTGTTCAAATGGTCTGAAGGTGCTAGTAAACTCCCTTGGAGCACCACATGCCCAGGTCCTACACCTGTAGATATTGCTTGCATGCAGAAGTCTCCAATCTTGGCCACTTGGCTGAATCCATTGCAGCTCAGAAGGCAGTTCCTGGTGGCCCAGCAGAGTCAGGCAAAAAATCACTGCCAGAACTCCAGCCTTTATCTTCTCTTTAAAAGGGCTATTCCTTGGGGAGGGAGCAGGATGGGCGGTCCCTAGGGTTAGATCACTTGCGACCTGTGGATGAAGTGATTTTCTTCCAGGTAGTGGCAACCCTCAGCTATGTCCCAACCAGCTGGAGGAGGTCTTGCATGGCCAGAGGTGATGGCTGGGCCTGGGTCAGGCAGAACGTACATCAGACCATACAGGTTTGGGGTCCCATGAACAGGTCTTTACCTGACTCAGGAAACCCTTCATGTCCCCTCCAGACACCAACTCCAGCAGAATTAGGCCAGAGGTAGCCCTGATGTACTCACAGTATTCTGATGCTCTGATGGCTGAACTCGCTGAGTCGGTGGTGCACATACCCCATCACCAGCAGGGAGAGAAACCATGCTCTAGGCTCCACAAGGCTGGAGAGGAGTTCTGTGTCCCTAAAGCTGCTACCTTTCAGCCCCAGGGTGAAGAGAAGCTATTTCTGCAGGCGAGTCTGGGTGCCTCCCTCCCACTTGCACCCTCGCCCCTGGCCCCAGGTGTGCCCCATGATGAGTGCCTCGGTGAGGAAATCCAGCCCATCCAGTGGACAGCAGGGTTCTGGCAGAGTCTAGTCGGGGAGAGGGGCTTCCTTGGTGGCTCGGCTGGTAAAGAATCTGCCCACAATGCAGTAGACCTGGGTTCGATCCCTGAATTGGGAAGATCCCCTGGAGAAGGAAAAGGCTGCCCATTCCAGTATTCTGGCCTGGAGAATTCCATGGACTATCCATGGGGTCACAAAGAGTCAGACGTGACTGAGTGACTTTCACTGGGGAGGAAGACAACAGAGCTCCTGAGCACCCCGGACATTTCAAGAGTGCAGGCTGACCCTATCTCCAGCCATGACTCCTTCGTCAGAGACTCTTCTCTTCTATTCTGTCAAAAGCCCCACCCCTCTCACCTTGATAGTCACCTGCAGGAGGCTGGGGTCCCCAGGAAGGCCAATTACCAGTCCCTCATAGGCCTCTCCAAAGACACCACGGGCCAGGGCTCTGCAGAAAGGCAGATTGAAGGGGAGTGGGTGGTTGGGTCTGGGGAAGGGTTCTTGAGGGTCTAGAGCCTCCTTTACCTCCCCTGTCCCCCTGCTCACCCTCCATATGCCCAACTGGCCCTCTCTGAGGGTCTGAGCTCTCTGCATCATGGCGTGTCCCCAAGGACAAGCTCTGCAGGGGTGACGGTGACCAGGGCAGAGTCAGGGCAGAAGAAAGGGCAAGTGTTGGGTAAGGCGGTGGGGTGGGATTCTGTGCTAAGTCTTCCCTTAGGTCCCTGCAGACGCTCTGGGATGAAGACAATCCTTATGCCAGAGGAATCGTATTTAGGGTCCCTACCATCCCAGAACTGGGATGATAGCTGACTTTGCCAGGTTACTTCCCCTTTTGGGGCTTCTCTGACCTCCATCTCCCCTATACAAGGGGTTTGGACCAGATGCTTACTGGGATCCATAATTCACCACAGCAGGGAGCAGGATGGAGGCTGGGGATTCAGAGTGCATTAGGCTCTCAGAAGGAGGTAGAGGATTCAGCTTAGCAGAATGAAATTGGCTGAGGAAACCTCCATAAGCCCCGAGGGCAGCATCTGGGACTAGGCTGGGCCAAGCCTCACCTGGAAGTAGTAGGGGTTGGGGATTGTCCTCATGGTGGAGATGTGAAGCTTGCTGATCTGAAGCTCAAGGCCGGGCAGCCTCATCCACCACGGGTCCTGCCACTTCTTTTGGTTCACCAAGGATGGGAGGAACACTGCCATACTCTCTACCTGCCCATCAGGCCCGCCCTGACCTGCCCCCCTGCCCAGGACACCTCTCCAGATGCCCATTAAAATAAACGCTGTTCTCAGGCCTCCCCAGCAGTTTCTATTCTTTAGAACCCCAGGGGAGTTTGCCACTTCTCTCCTGGCAGAGAACGGTTCTAGGTTCTATGAAGACTACAAGACCTTTTAGAACTAACACCCCAAAAAGATGTCCTTTTCATTAGAGGGGGCTGGAATGCAAAAGTAGGAAGTCAAGAAACACCTGGAGTAACAGGCAAGCTTGGCCTTGGAGTATGGAATGAAGCAGGGCAAAGGCTAATAGAGTTTTGCCAAGAGAATGCACTGGTCATAGCAAACACCCTCTTCCAACAACACAAGAGAAGACTCTACACATGGACATCACCAGATAGTCAACACTGAAATCAGATTGATTATATTCTTTGCAGCCAAAGATGGAGACGCTCTATACAGTCAGCAAAAACAAGACTGGGAGCTGACTGTGGCTCAGATCATGAACTCCTTATTGCCAAATTCAGACTTAAATCGAATAAAGTAGGGAAAACCACTAGACCATTCAGGTATGACCTAAATCAAATCCCTTATGACTATACAGTGGAAGTGAGAAATAGATTTAAGGGACTAGATCTGATAGAGTGCCTGATGAACTATGGATGGAGGTTTGTGACATTGTACAGGAGACAGGGATTAAGACCATGCAAACATATGAAAAAAAAGCAAAATAGCTGTCTGAGGAGGCCTTACAAATAGCTGTGAAAAGAAGAGAAGGAAAAGCAAAGGAGAAAAGGAAAGACAGTCCCATCTGAATGCAGAGTTTCAAAGAATAGCAAGGAGAGATAAAAAAAAAAAAGCCTTCCTCAGCAATCAGTGCAAATAGAGGAAAACAACAGAATGGTAAAGACTAGAGATCTCTTCAAGAAAATTAGAGATACCAAGGGAACATTTCATACAAAGTTGGGCTCCATAAAGGACAGAAATAGTGTGGACCTAACAGAAGCAGAAGATATTAAGAAGAGGTGGCAAGAATACACAGAAGAACTGTACAAAAAAGGTCTTCACAATCCAGATAATCACAATGGTGTGATCACTCACCTGGAGCCAGACATCCTGGAATGTGAAGTCAAGTGGGCCTTAGAAAGCATCACTGTGAACAAAGCTAGTGGAGGTGATGGAATTCCAGTTGATCTATTTCAAATCCTGAAAGATGATGCTGTGATAGTGCTGCACTCAATATGCCAGCAAATTTGGAATCAACTATCTGCCCCTGGAACCCCACAGAAGCCTGTTGGCTCAGTGAAGAAATCAGCCATGCCTGCTGGGTGCTCTGTGCCCAGAATCAGGACCCCACACACCCTAGGAAGGCTCAGTGTCAAGGTCACCACCACAGCCACCATCAGAATCAAAAGGCCTGAGGGGGTGGGCAGGTCCACCAGTGGGAAACTCCTCTCTTTCCCTCTACCCCAACTTTTAGTAATGCCTCAAGACTCAGCTTGAGTGTTCACTTTTCCATGATGCTTTCCTCACTTATCCTAAATGAATGCAACTGCTCCCTCCTCATCACCCCTAAGACACTTTACACCTCCCATGGCAACTGTCACTACAAGATATATGTAGATATCTAGATATAAATATAGGTATATAGAGAGACAGTGATTGGGATCTCCCCTACCACACTAGACCACTAGACTACATGCTCCGTGAAGGTAGAGCATGCACTGATACACCTCTAATCCCCTGCCCAACACCCAGCACAGTGCCTGGCACACAGCAGATATGCTTCCCAGTGCCCTACTGCTCCTCCCCTCCCATGGTCCCATGAATCCAGACCTCAGACACAAGCAGGACATACCCATGCAGGTGACGTTATCTGCAGCCAGCTCCATGCCCTCTGGGCACAGGCAGTTGGCCAATTGGAGCTCGGCCTGGCATTGGCAGATCTTCAAAAGGCAAAGACAGCAATTGAGGTCTAGTCGAATCTCCACCTCTCTGTGACTCTCCATGACAATGAGTAAAAGAACTGATATTGCTGGGTAAGGGTGGGGGCGTATGTACTTTTCCAGTTTCGTGGTTAATTTTAGCCCTGAACTTTGGAATGAGGAGCAATGCCAGGCATTTAGGGAGGGTGGGAGAGTTTGGGGGGACTTCTGTCAAGCTTGTATGCTTCCTTTTCTGGGATCCTTGAGCTTGCAGGTTGTTGAAGAGAATTCAGAGCAAGAGATAATTTGACAAGCAGACCAGAATGCCCCCATTCTGGCATCACAAGTGACAGCCCAGCTCGCAAGTATTCCTGAGTTGTGCAAAACCGGGTAGTTCACAGGGCAGAGCTGGTGGTCAGATGGGAGGGGCTGAGGAAAAGGGCTAGACTAGGCTGAAAGGTGGGGGATGGGGCCGATACCTGCCAGAAGCTACAGGCAGAACTCACTGTTGGGGTGTATGACAAATACTGCCCTTTCCTCATCAGTCCAGGGAATGTCAGTCTCTGAGGCATCACTCCCTGCCAGAAACTGAGATAGAGCGTTTGGCTATGAAATGGAGGAAGGAAGAGGAGCACACGGCTCCTCACAGTTGGGAAGCTGGCTTATACAGCAGGGAAGCCGGAGACTCCCCGTGGAAACCCCAGTGCGGCCTTGTCTACATTCACATCACAGTACGAGTGCTGCCAGATGGCAGGTGGGAGCTGAGGGGCCAGAGAGGTGGGAAGAAATAATAGCTGGAATCTGAAAGCCTGGTTCAGGTTGGCTGGCTCCTTGTCTGTCTGAACCTCTCTAATGCCATGTTCTCAACTATAAAATGGAAGAGGCCCAACCCACACGTTCTACTTCTGCAATAATGGAGATAATGTGTATAAAGTACTTAGGAACAGTACTGCCCAGATAGACAGGAAGGCTCTGTTTCTTTATAGCAGTGGTTTCCAAACTCTGGAGTGTATAAGAATCACTTAGAGACTTGACTAAAACACAGATAATGGGACCCTCCCCTAAACTTCTGATTCAGGAGGTTGGAGGGAGGCTGAGAATTTGTATACCTAGCAACTTAGGTGGTGCTAATGGCTCAGCCACCACACTCTGAGAACTGCTGACTTAAACTACCCCCGCCTTTCTGCCTCCCAGCTCAGCTTGCTAACGCAGCCAGCTCTAAGTTCCCGGGACTACTACAGATCAAGGATCGGACTTGTGCTGACAAAGATCCTGGATGTAAAAGAAAATCGAGGGAGTCCAGTCTGTACATGTGCTTTGCAACTTACCCGACCTCCTTTTCTTGTATTTACTACTCTACCTGCTCTGGCCTGGAAGGCGGGCTCAACACTTTTCCCAACTGTCTTCCGAGGGACTAGGTCTGTCCTTAAGGCTGTAACCTCAAGTCACTCTCAGGGCTGCCCCGCTGCCCTCCCCAAGGGTGCACCTAACCGCTGCCGCCGCCCCTCTCAGTCGCGGCCCCCACCGCCTCCCGCGAAGCCGCCGGCTGCCACCCAGCCAAGCTTAGCCCAGACCTCCGCGTTGCCCTGGCTGCCCCCACCCCTTCCTCGCTGACCCGCCGGCGGGGACTGTAGGGGGCCCACGATGTTCAGCCGCCGCCTGCACCTACAGAGAGACACGGGGTGGCTGGCCGCGGGGACTGGAAGCACGCCCTCCCATCCCCGCAGCCTGCGCCCTCACCTGCCGCCCCGCCTCTCCAGCTGCTCCTGAGCGCCACCGAGCGGCTCTCTAGTTTCTGGGCGGTGGTCTGAGTCCCCCCTCGGTCCTGCCGCTTCAAGTACGCCCGACTGCCTCCTGCGGCCGCCACCAGCAGCGGCCTCGGCTCACCCGTGCGCAGCTACGCGGCAGCGACATACAGGGGCTCGCCCTCCAGCCGTCGAATGAGAAGCCGGGCGCTGGGCCAGGGCTCGCGCCCCAGGGACTAGAGTAAAGGTAGGGGCTCGCAGTCAGGCCCAGGGCTTTGGGGACGCCGAGGAGATCCTGTGGGTGCGCGCTCGGTGGGAAGGACCCCAACGCCTAGCTCTGGAGACCGGGGCAGCCTGCGCTGAGGGAAGCACGAACCGGAAAGACGTAGGTGGTGCCCCAACCACCTCCGCCGCCTCCTGCCCAGCGCCAGGACCCTGGGACCCCGTCAATCCCATTCGTCGCCGCCCTCTCCTCAGCGGCTCCGAAACTCTCCCACCGGCGTCCGGAGCTGCAATCGGTGGAGGCCCGGGCCCTCCCCTCCCAGTGTTGAGATCTGAACCCCGAGAAACGCCCCCCCTCTACCCAGCTCCTGCTCTGGGGCGCTTGAGCCGCTCCGCTTCCTTCCAGACAGGCCTCCTCTTCCAGCTGCCCCACGAGGATGTGGATGTAAGACGGCTCTCCCGCAACCGAGGGAGAAGGGCAGAGACGAAGATTCCATGTGCCAGTGATAGGTGGTTCTCGGCACCTTTGCTGCCGGAGGCGCCATGGGCTGAGATCCTGCGGAATGCGGGCTCTGAGTCCCTGGTCCTTGACCACTGGTCCTCGGCCTGCCCGCCTAAGGTAGAGATTAGTGATAGAGGAGGTTCCAGAAGTTCTTATCTGAGGGACTTAGGGGATGTAGTGTATTTTGAAGGAATGGGGAGACTAGGTATGCACACCATAAAATTAGATTTTGCACTTATTTCAAGAGGCTTAATGGAGATGGTGAGGGAGGCTCAAGCCACCTCTCGCAGCAGCTGTTGGTTATGAACACTCCTCTTGGCAGGAACAGGCTCCTGGGTATAGCTAACCTGGTGGCAACTATTGCCACCCCTTCCAGAGTTTGGCTGGAAGAAGGGACAAAGCTGCTTGTCACTGCAGGATACACCAAGACTCAAAGTGGAGCACAGGTACCCTTAGTTCCCCAGATCACAGAACCTCAGATTTGCAGCTGCTGCCCACATCTACTCCTGTTTCTGCCAGTATCTATTCTGTACAGATGCTGGCCAGCACCCCATGCCTACCACAACTGCTCAGAGTCCCAGGGGCCCCCACTGTTACCACCACACTGCTGCTAGTGTGGTCCCGGGCCCACTGTGTGTGAGGGCCCAAGCCAGCTCCTGGCCCTGCAGATGGAGAAGAGCCAACGCCCCTCCGTGCCTGAAAGCAGGGAGGGAGGAAAGGGTCAGGAGCACCTGCCCCAGCCTGAGGGACCCCACACAGAGTGGAGAGTGGAGGAGAAGGAAGGAGCTCAGAGCTCACCTGGGGGAATTAGGGGGGAGGCTGGCTCAAAGCTGCTAGGCAGGATGGTGATGCTTGGGTCCCAGGGGCTTGGAGCCGGTGGCAGCAAGGACGAGGATGGGGGAAATGGTGCCTGAGACCACAAGCTGGAGCAGAGAATTGCACCTGAAAAGTGACGAGGCGATGGCAGGGTGGGAGAGGGCACATGTGTTAACAGGATGGCAGATGAAGAGCCTCTTGCAGCCACACCCCTATCCCCACCTAGCTGGGACATACTAGCACCTGGAAGCTACCAAAGCCAACTCTGGTTGCCAAAGGCCCACTGGGGTGGGGTAGAGGTGCTGTGTGCTCACTTTTCTTCCCCGGAGAGCTTTTCCCAGTGGATGACTTGGGCACAGCACCGAGGTCCATCCTGCAGGGACCCCATTTTTCTCTCCACTTGGTTTGGTGGTTCTGTCCTCATGCCATGCTGAGACCCAGGGCCTGTCCCTCCTTCCCCAGCAGAGATCTGGATCCTGGGACAGACACCCACCCCATTTCTTTACCTGCACTCACTCCCCGTGCTTTGGCTGCGAGGGTTCAAGCATTCAAGGCCTCTGCAGGAGCCACTTGGAACCCCATTTGTCTCAACTGCCACCCCCAAGTCTAGGAAGCTGCCTTTAACATTATGGTCCCAGAAGGCATTTACCAGAACCATAGCAGCAGAAGGAAGAGGACTGGCCCACCACAGCCAGAGTTGCAGGCTCAGACTGCTGCTTTTAGGAATGTCCTGCCTCTTCCTGGAGACCGCTGGGTCCTAAAGATGACCTGACTACTCCCAGCTCAGACCCTGAGATGTCAAGCGTTCACCTGTACAGTTTTGTTGCCTATGTCAACTCTGAGCACAATTTCCACCATTTGGTGAAAAGCCTGGGCCTGATATCAAAAGACCAGAGTGCCAGGAATTCCTTGGTGATCCAGTGGTTAGAACTTCGTGCTTCCACATCAGGGGCATGGCCTCAACCCCTGGTCGGGAAACTAAGACCTTGCATGCTGTGCTACAGGGGAAAGACAAGCATCTGTGGTGAACTGGGTTTGGTGAAGAGATCACAACTCAAGGAGTTTCTCTACCACCTTCAAAAACATAGGAAGGGAAGTTGTTTTGTAACCACAAGGCACCCAATAACAGAGGGCCACGCACCATCAGGTGGTTTTATCTTTTTTTTTTTTGCTCAAAATACCAATTTTGAAGGCTGAGACCTAATAAAAAAATACTGAAAAAAAGAAGTTATAGTAGTTAGCTACTTGGTAATCTCTGAGTGTATAGTGCTGGTTGTAGACACTACAGTGATTTAAAAAAAAACAAAAATGTCTGACACCCATGTCTTTTTTTAACTCTTACTGTGAGGTCACAGAATTTACAAGGTCCCTGTAAGCCAATGGTTCTCAAAGTGTGGTTGGTTCTGGACAGCAGCAGCAGATGGGAGCTTGTTAGAAATGCAAATTCTTAGGTTTCACCCTAGACCTACTTTATCAGAAACACTGGCAGTAGGGCCCAGTGATCTGTTTCAACACCATGTTCAAGTGATTTATTTTTCACATAAATTTGAGAACTATTGATGTTTCATAAACATGGGAGTTGCTCAGTAAAACATACCGTTTAATTCTGTGTTCAACAGCTCCATTTATAGGGGATGGGCTCTTTACCTACTGATGGCTCATAGCACTCACCCTGACCCGTAAACACAATGATTATAATTTTCACACAGCAAATGATACTAAGAAAGCTTAGTGTTGGAATTCAGACAAAAGAACAACCTAGAGGTGCCAAAAGGAAGAGATAAACTGATGAACCAGAGTTTACTTTTTGATCCAATCCTCCCCAGTCTTTGCCTACCACCACTAAAGTCCACAGTGGAAGGGATGTTGTAGAACCTCACTATACAGAATCCCCCTACCCACACCCCGCCCCAGACCCACCATCAATCGAATTCGTATGTTGAAAGTGAATCTGCATATTGAGCATATTTGAAGGTGGGGCCATTGGGAAGTAATTAAGTCATGAGGTTTTCACCTTCATGAGTGGAATGGGATTAGTACCCTATGAAAAGATGCCCCAGGGGAGTTCCTGGTGGCCTAATGGTTAGGACACAGCATTTTTCACTGTCATTGCCTGGGTTCAATCCCTGGTCAGGGAACTGAGATCCCACAAGCTGTGTTGCTAAAAATAAGAGGCCCCAGAGAGCTCCCTTGTCCCTTCTGCCATGGGGGAGCTGTCTATGAACCAGAAAGCAGATCTTCAACAGATACTAAATCTGCCAGCACCTTAATATTAGCCTTTCCAGTCTCTGAAAGTGAAAGTTGCTCAGTTGAACTCTGTGCAACCACATGGACTACACAGGCCATGGAATTCCCCAGGCCAGAATTCTGTAAGTGGGCAGCTGTTCCTTCTCCAGGAGATCTTCCCAACCCAGGGATCGAACCCAGGTCTCCCACATTGCAGGCGTTTTTTTTTTTTTACCAGCTGAGCCGCAAGGAAAACCCAAGAATACTGGGGTGGGTAGCCTATCCCTTCTCCAGTGGATCTTCCCGACCCAGGAATCGAACCGGGGTCTCCTGCATTGCAGGCAGATTCTTTACCAACTGAGCTATCAGGGAAGACCTCCCAGTCTCTAGAACTCTGAGAAATAAATGTCTGTTGTTCATAAGCCACCCAGCCTGTGGTATTCTAATATAGCAGCCCGAACAGATCCAAGACAGACAGATACCGCACCAGTCTGATTTTTGGATTCTTCTTGTCTCAGGATAGCAACTGATGGAAATAAGAGGCCACAGGAGACAAACTGGGGGCCTCCCAGGTGGCGCCATTGGTAAAGAACCCACCTACCACTGCAGGAGGCTTGGTCTTGATCCCTGGGTTGGGAAGATCCCTATGGAGGAGGACATGACAACCCACTCCAGTATTCTTGCCTGGAGAATCCCATGGACAGAGAAGCCTGGCGGGCTACAGTCCATGGGGCTGAAAAGAGACAGACATGGCTGAAGCCACTTATACACATGCATACAGAGACAGGATAATGACCTCATTAAGGATACCTACACTTCAAGTGGAATGCTGACAAAGTCCTTCAAGAAGTGCTCCATTCCCAAGAGCATTGCCCCGGCCTGGCTTCACTCCAGAACTGGGACCCATATTTTTGTCGTCCCAGATGTGGACTTAGTTTTCACCTCCCATTCATGATTTCTCCCCTGTCTCTCTCAGAGCAATCTTGCTTCCCTCAGGAATAACCCATCCCTTGATACCAATCCTGAACTAGTATATTTGAAACCAGTCCAAATCACATTCCCAGATTAAAAAAAAATTTACTTCAACGCCCAGCTCCAGTATTCATACACACTGATGCCAGGGCATAGGCAGAGGAAGAGAGGTATAGTTGGTTCATCTTGTCCCCAAGAAGGGGACATAGCTAAGTCACCCTTCACTCCCAGTGCAGACCCTCAGAAGTCCCAGATCATGGGCTTCAATTATCAGGATATACAGGTAGGTTCACCCAGCTCCAAAAAAGCTCAAAGAGGCAGGCCTTCTGCTCTTTTGTTTCCCGCCCATTCTTAGGACACAAAGCCAGGTATCTGTTGGTAACTCTAGGAGAGTGTATCCATCTCTTCATCTGCAGCAGCTATACTAGGTCTCTGATACTCCATGTGGGAGCACCCCTGAGATCCTGAGTTTCTGAAGGTACTGCTGACGCACAGGGGGCAACTGGGGATACAGCTCAAAACCCGCGGGAAGGGCAGAATTGGGAAGCTTATAGTAGAGAAGGTGCTGCCGCAGGCCCTGCAGAGAAGAAAGAAACTTTATGTAGCAGGTAGTGAGATCCTGTTGAGATCTGTTCCCCAATACCCTTCATTCTCCCACCTCCAAGATGTGCCCCACCCCTTACCTCATCTGTCAGCAGCCAAGTCTTCTGCAGCATGCTTCTGCAGGCAGCCTTGATCTCGTCCTAGAGGAAGAATAAGAAGAGGTGGCACCAGGCCAAGGGCAGGTACCTATCGCTGGCCTGGCTGGGCCCTTACCTCCTCCCCAGCTGGCCCAGTTCAATTGCAGGCCCCTTCCTCCCTTTGGAGATGGGGATGTAACTTACTGAGTTATTTGGGTCCTGGGAGAAGATGAAGCTGTTGACATGAGCCACAGCCACAGCATAGAGCACAGGGCACCAGCGTGGACGGAGGGCACCAGTAACCAGAGCCCGGAAGTAGAGCTGAAGGAGGGCCACGTTGTCTTCAGGAGGCGCCGTGTAGCACTCCAGGGACACAGGCAGCTGTGACAGGGGATATGAGGCATGCTGAGGGTCAGGGCATGATGTGGATCAGTGGACAATGGGGTGGAAGGTGGATGGTCACATGAACCAAATCCCTATCACAAGGGTCAAGGTTAAGGACTAAAGAGCTAGAAATGAACTTATTTAGAAAACAGAAGCAAACTCTCAAACATAGAAAACAACCTTATGGTTACCAGGGGGTGGGGGGAGGGATAAATTGGGAGATGGGGACATATACACACAACTATGTATAAAATAATACGAAACTGCTGGGCCTTCCCTGGTGGTCCAGTGGCTAAGACTCTGAGCTCCCAGTGCAGGGGGCCCAGGTTCGACCACATGCTACAACTAAGACCCAGAGCAGCCAAATAAATAAATAAAATTAAAAAAAAAAAAAGAAACTGCTGCTGTATAGCACAGGGAATTCTGTAACAACCTACACAGAAAAATAATCTAAAACAAAAGAGTGGATACATGTATGTGTATAACTGATTCACTTTGCTGTACACCTGAAACATAATATTGCAAATCAACTACACACCAATAAATTTTTTTAAAAAAAGAAAGAGCTGGAAAGCAGTGGAAACTGGGAAACTGAGAAGCAGCTGTGAATTTCTACTGCCACCACCGCCTGTTTAACCTACTTGAAACTTTCAAAACGTCATATGCAGCTGCTCAATTCTATTACCAAACCATTCAAAAGTTCATGTTCTTTGGAATAGTAATTATTTTTCCAAAAAATTACTCTTCCTTAATTCCATGCAGAATGATTATGAGTTTATATCCAATGGTGTTTATCAGAGCATTACCTAAAATAGCAAAAAATCAGAAACAAACTTTGATGCCCACTAAGGGGTTCTAATAAACTGTGACATACTTGCAAAATGGATTATATAATAAAAATGTTGATTTCTTAGGCTATTTAATAATGTGAGAAATACTTATTATATAACATTAAATTAAGAAAACATTATGTGGTGATCCCAATTTTATAAAAATATGTATACACATAAGAACTTCCCTGAAGGTGTAGTGGATAAGAATCAGCCTGCCTCTGAGCTTTTGCTTATGCTGTTCCACTAGGTACATCCTGTCCTTCCTCAACAATCCAAATTCTACCCAACTTTTTGTGTCCAGATCAATTCCCACTTCTTCCACAAAACCTTCTCCTCATGGAAAATCCACTTTGATCTTTGCCTTCTCTGAATCCTGACTTAACACCTAGAATCTGAATAACTGAGAACTATATTGGTTTCGGTACATCTCTTGTCTACACTGTAGCACCTCACGAGCAAGGAACCATGCCATTAATAATAATGAACACCTATGGTATGCCAGATACCATGATAAACCCTTTCCATGTATTTTTTCATCTCCTCAAAGCCCCCAAGAGGTAAGATAAAGAACCTCAGGTCACCAAAGCGCCCCGCTGCTCAGGAGTGCTTCCAAGGCCCAGGACAGGATGCCCATGGTGGGCCCTGCTGGGCTGAGAAAGTACCTGTGTCAGTGGCAGGCCCAGAGCTCGCAAGGCACCCACATGCTCCCCAAAAAGGGCGAGGCGCAAGGTGACGCTGAATCGACGCTGTAGGGGAAGGAGAATCAGAGCCCCAAAGAGGTGGTCCCCAAAAGAGACAGCCTCAAAATGCTCCAGGAAGTTGGCATAGAGGTCTGGGAAAGATGTCAGGCCAGGAAGCGGGCAATCCAGGTTGAGATTTGGTAGGACTTCAGGCTGGCAGAGCCGGGCCAGGAGGGCTGCCACCAGGCGTTGTATTGGGGTCTCCCGGAACAACTCACTGTCCACCAGGAATACACACATGAGCCGCGCCAGGCGGGCAGCAGCAGACACAGCCCAGAGCGCCTGGGGGCGCCAGCTCTCCAGGACAAGCACCCACTGCAGGGCCCGCAGGGCTGTGCCCACAGTGTCAGCAGGAGGGAGTCCCGAGGGGGTGTCTGAGGCCCGGTGGTAGAGTTGAATCAATGGCAGGAAAGGCCAGTCAGTGGGCAGCAGCGGCTCCTTAGGCACAGCAAGCAGCAAGGCTGGGACTCGCCGGAGCTCCCCTCGGTACAAGGCCTGGGAGGCGAGCAGGCTGGCCCGGGCCAGTGAGCAGTGGGTCAGGTAGCAGCTGCGGATGCTGGGGAGGTCATGGCAGGCCTGAGCTAGGAGAGCCCCTCGTCCACATCCAAGGTATCCGCCGCTTCCTAAGGACAGCCGGTCAGAGAAGTCAGCTGCCTCCGGACCCCCTGATGCTCTTTCTCTGTAATGGAACCCGAAAACAAAAATGAGGGCAAGAACCCACAAGGCCACCATCTCTCCAGGGCCTCCCAGAGGCTCCCAGGTCCAATCCTGCTCCTTCCTGTCCCCCTAA